ACTCCCCTGGTCTACTAAGTTGAAAGTTTGCTGAATATTCAGTCCAGTTCGCAACAGACAGTTCAGGTATACTTATTCTTAAGTTATAGTGGGAAGAAATCTTGAACCTTCAGCTAGTAGATCTCTCACCTTGAAACCATCAATTGCAAAATCACAATAGACAAAGAGTAAGAGATGAGAGACAAAGCTGAATATGAGTGCATGACATTGAATGAACCAAGATCTCATTTGCTCCTCGCCATAATCACAGTGATGATTGATTTTTTTTTCATTGCACTGAAAACCTAGCAATAGGAAACCAGGCTCAACTTACTTGCGTTAACATTCCAGAACCTGGAAGTCACACTGAAGAAAATCTTACTTTTTGTCCTCATCCACTATGGCATTCAATACCATTACAGATAATCTTTTACTTACAACAGTAAGTTTAGTGACTATTCAAAGTTACAGCATCACTGAAAAAAGTGACTTATGACTGTTTTTCACACTTACGACCATTACAGCATTCCCATTGTCAAGGTTCCGACGAACAAGCCCAAGCAAACCAGAACTCCGAGACTCAGATCTCTCTCAAAGAACTTCTGTATTGTGCGCATCATATTGGCATGGTTAAATGTAAAACCAACTCTGAATATTTCCCATGGTTTCAATATACCGTATTTTTGGAGCATAAGACGCACCTTTTTTCCTCAAAAACGAGGCTGAAAATCTGGGTGCATCTTAAACATCAAATACAGCATTTTTTGCCTCCCAAAGACTCTCCCCCTTCACCAAAATGGCCGTGCATATCCTTGTGGAGGCTTTCAGAGAGCTCCTGGGGGCTGAGGAGGGCAGAAATAAGCAAAAAATGGGCCGTTTTTTTGCCACCCCAGCCCCCAGCAGCACTCGATAAGCCTCCAAAAGGCTATGCATGCAATTTTTTTGACAAAAAACAGGCCCATTTTTGTGAAAAACTGGTTGTTTTTTGCTCATTTTGGGGCCCCCATCCCCTCAGAAGCACTCTGCAAGCCCCCCAAGGCTATTCATGCCTTTAAAAAAACAGGCTGTTTTGAGAGGTTTGCAGAGTGCAAAAACTTTTTTTCCTTTTGGAAAGCTCTTTAGCTGATTGATGAGAATTGCATTGATCAAGTGCTATGCCAGCAGAAACAAAGTTAGGTGCTGCAGATTGTCAGTGATTTCCTTCTCCAGCACATGGATAAATACACCTGGAAAATTTGCCTCTTCAACCTTGGTGTGTCTTAAACTCTGAAAAATACGGTACTTAAAATCATAAATGATCTACTCCCAAAGTGTCACAGGTCAATTGTCCAATTAGGTTCATTGGTGGACTCCCTAGGAATTCCACTCCATTTGACACCTATGGGAGATGACCTTGGTTCCCACGAGATAGAGCGATGTTGTGTCTGGCAGTGCATTCCAGCCTCCTCCCCCCCTTCCCAATACTGTGTGGCAACTGAGAACCAACAAAATGGCTTCTGCCAGGTTTGGTTTGAAGTTGACACCCATGGTCACATGGTGAAAATTAAGATGCTTGGCAACTGAGTCATATTTATGACAGTTGCAGTGTCCCAGAGTCATGTGATCTCCTTTTGCAATCTTCTGACAAGCAAAGTCAATGGGGAAGCCAGAGTCACTTAATACCCATGTTACTAACTTAACAACTGCAGTGATCCACTTAACAACTGTGGCAAGGAAGGTCATAAAATGGGCAAGACTCAGTTAACAAATGTCTTACTTAGCAACAGAAATTTTGGGCTCAATTATGGTCGAGGACTACCTGTATTGATCTGCATGGCCAAGGTAAAAAGTGATCCTTAACCCCAAACTGTTAGCATTTTAAAATAAAAATGTTAACAACCCAAACTTGTCTTAGAAACAGCTCTCATTTATATTATAGTTTTAGAAAAGCCCAAAAGCTAGAATTTTAATTTAATTTTTTGTAAAAATTAAATGCTTATAATTCTAAACCTAGTCTCCCAGGTTACCACCATGAAATAAGTCCATATTTAAGGTGAAATGAATCCATATTTAAGACAGTCTTCTACAAAAAAATAATATTAAGTAGTAGCCAGATTTTATCCCTGTGTTACAAACTTGAATATTCCCATTAGATATTCTTGGTTAAGTATGTGCATTTAGATCATTTGGGTTTTCTTTTCTTTTCCTTTCCTTTCCTTTTTTTTTAAAAAAAGTTCTCCAATTTATAATCCCTGTAGCTTGATCCAAGACATGTAACTTACTTCAACTATTAGGCTCAGAACGAACAAGAGAAATGGCAGATAGTGATATATAAGATCTCAAGAGGCTTCTGACAAATTCTCACGATTATTGGCACAATTTCTCTGCTCTGCTCCCAGAAGGGAAATAGATTCTATGGCAGTTGAAATGTGTATTATTAAACTTCTTAAGCGATCCAGAATGTTTCCCAATAGGCATTGAAATTTTTTTCTAAGTATAGCAAAGTTGACATTCTTAGGTCTAAGTCTTTCCCCTTCAACCCTCATTTGATTCCATCCAACAATCTTTAAACTGGCCCATCATTATTCCATTAAAATAAATCAAAATCCATGTCACCAGAGCCTATTATGGCTACGCAGGGTACTTCCATTCTGTTCTGCTAAAGACAGCCAGATGGGAAAATCTGAGGCCAGATAAAAAGCTGAATTGGCACCAGGTTTAACTTCACATTCCAACAAAGCAAAGTTGCAATGCTAAAGGGTTTTGCTCACTATGCTATGACCATTTCCAGTTTGCACCTCCTGGAACTCTATTTTTTATTGTTTTCTATTTTTTTTTCTGGTAGTTGTCTGAATTGCAAGATGCTGATTAAAAGAAGATAAGCCATCTTTTAATTATGAAGGTTAACATTATCAGAATGTTTGCAGCTGAAAACAATGTCATTGTGTGATATGTATCTTTTGCAAAAAAAAAATCATAAATCCACAATTAACTACCAATTTATTCTTTAAAAAAAAAAGAAAATCAGATGAATGGAGAAATGCAGTGGAGTAGATTTCCCAAAAACTTCTAAAAACTAATATGGGTCAGAAACGGTTGGACATTCTCTTTGGCCTCATGGCCCTATTAATGGCAGGCAGAGGATTGCAAAATGTCTGCCATTTTGAATTTATCTTACTGACCTGATGAACTAATGAAGAAGGGAGCAAGATGGACATTTTAAAGGGGCAAATTTCCTACTATTTGGGTAAACACAGATTTTCCTTGAGTTGAGTTCTTCTCCTGATGACTCCATGGAATCTTTTTGTGGTTTTCTGGGAAGCTGTAACTAAATTGTTTTGCCTCCTTTTGAAATGTTTGTCCAACTTCCCATCTACTCTGCAATGCTGGGATCCCTAATAGTCTTTTGGAAGCCATCTTTGGAGATGCCATTATAATTGGTTCTATTCAACCAGCTTAAACTATGAATTTTTAGGAGACCTCTTGAGAAATATAGATGTGGACCACTTTATTGATGAGTGAGTGCAGACGTTGTTCTCTAAATAAATGCATGTTCAGGCAAAATGTAATGATCTGATCATCCTTGCCTAAACCATTTTGAAACTGGGTTTTTTTTTTTTTGGCTTTTCTTTGACTTCATTTTTTTTCTGTCCAAAACCACATCGGTAGTTGTATTGATCATCAAGGTACCAATTGATTGGAAGGAAAAGTAAAACCAGTGATCTTCTCCAGGATTTGCCCTTCACTGGGTAAACCTCTAAATTAGACCCTTTTGACACATCAAGCGCAAGAAGAATTAGAGAAGAAGGTCTACGTTACAAGATAATGTAGTTCCTTTTGGATGACCAAGATGGTTCTTTAAGGGTTATTCATTGCTAGGCAGCAATACTGTAATCCCAAACAATCTAATTGTCTAAGAGATCTGTTTTATCATTTCTTGCTCAGAAAAAGTTGATAATTGATTTGATTGATTCAATCTGATTGATTTGATTTGTTAAGGCTGCCCAATTAGAAAAAGTTGGTCAATTTACAATATATCCAATTAGAATCTTGACCTGTCCCCAGAATATCAGTTTTTTAAGTATACCAGACTTGATATATCCAAGATTATGAACTCCAATACACATTTTATTAAAAAGTTACAATAAAAGAATCTTGCAAGTTTGAATACTTGCAAGGGAATGTCGGGTCTGTTACGCCTTTGAAGAAGTCTAGACAGCAAAGCAAACTCTCCAAAACTAATTCTATCTTTATTGTAAAGTTACAGTAACAGGATCTTGCCAGTCTGAAAGCATTTCTCTCCATCCTGGCTTTCACTTTCCAGAGATCTGAGTCCTTCTGAGATGCTTTGGACTTTGATTTCTCTTACCAAACTATTGTGTAGGCTGTGGTTCTTCCATCTGTCATCCAAGGTTAGGGTTATTAAAAGTGTCAAATGCTTTTTAAAACTAAGTTTCTGTTTCAGACTAAAATTTATTTTATCTTGATTGTCTTGATTGTGATTCATCCTCTTTTTCCTCAGGGTTATTTCTACTCCCCATTTCACAGAAGCTGACTGGTAACAATGCATGTTAGGTGGCAGTGATGGGCATAATTCGAAGCACCCATTACTGCTGACACAATTACATTTTGAACCATCTGCAAGTTCCCAATGGCCTACAAGGGCAGACCCATGCAAAACACATTGCCAGAGTCCAATTGTGAGGTGCCTAGGGTGTGAATGAACATCTGAAGGGCTTCCCTGTTGAAGAAAGGGCCCCCACTGTGCACAAGATAAACCTGTGCAAATTCTCTTCTGGCCTTAAGTGTCACCTGCTCTTTGAGCAATAGCTGTCACAAATGTTGAAAAGCTTATTTTCTCTCTCCCTTTGATTAGTTAGCGTCTATTATCCATTCCTTCATATGCGTGCAACATTAATTATTGGTTTTTTCCATTATTCTATTTCTTTTTTTTCAGTGCAAAATAATTTTCAACTTTTGTGTTTTTTCCCCTTCCCCTACAAAAATTTCACTTGTTTCTCGTTTTCCACCCTCTTTTTCAGCTTTAAATGAGCCAACCATAGATTATGGTTTCCAAAGACTCCAGAAGGTCATCCCAAGACATCCAGGTGATCCAGAACGACTAGCAAAGGTAAAGATTCCTTCCTCGCCTCTTGACTTCACTCACATGACAAGATAAAAAATAAATGGCTGCATTGGTCTGGCCTTCTGAACCACAAATCTACTTCCTACATTTTATTCTACCGTTGTTTGCTGAACCCTGATCTGTGTAGCCAATTTAGGCACAATACAAATAATCCTCGATTTATGGCCACAACTGACCCCAACATTTCTGTTGTTAAGTGAGACATTTGTTAAGTGAATTTTGTCCCCGTTTCGTGACCTTTCTTGCCACAGTTGTTAAGTGAATCTCTGCAGTTGTTAAGTTAGTAACATAGTTGTTAAGTGAATCTGTCTTCTCCATTGACCTTTCTCACCAATGGAGAAGCCACACTGGGCATAACAACCCAATTGCAAGCCAGATTGCAGTGGAACACTAAACCATCATAAATATGAGTCTGTTGCCAAGCATCTGTATTTTGATCGCATGGCTGTGGGGATGCTGCAAGTGTCAAAAATGGCTCACAAGTCATTTTTTTCAGTGCCGTTATAACTTCAAATGGTCACGGAACAAATGGTTCTAAATCAAGTGCTGCCTGTACAGGGTATGTCAGCCCCTCCATACCGTATGCTCAATATGTGGTAGGTTTATTTATTTATTAAGCACATTTCTGTGTTGCCACAATCTAAAGAGACACTTGGTGGCTCGGACAGAACAGATACAGGTTGAAACATCCACGATAGGAAAAACAAAAACTCTAAACTCAATAAAAATAAAAGTTGTACAACACGCAAAACAAAACTGAATAAAATAAATATGAAATAATTGAGTAAATCATGGCTGACTCTGGGCAAACTCATGATATGAGCTGATGGATTGGTTTAGTTTAACATAATGTTTTTGTAAACCATGCTTTATGGCTTAGCATGTTCAGAGCATGATTGAATTAAGAGAGCCTGGTTAAATGTGTTCTTCCCACTATTTGTTTTTGTGATGAAAAGCTACTGGGAGCGCAAAAACAGAATGGTGAAATATGAATTACTAATAAATAATAATAATTTTAAAAAAGACTTGTGTTTTGTTTAAAAGAACATTAGCATTTGTCCTGTTTGATTTCAGGGTCTGTTGTGTTTCACACTGTGCTTGCCTAGCTTTTACCACCACATTTTTCAATGCATGACATATCCTTGGTTGTCCTTTTCTGCTTGCAGGAGATGCTGTTGAAGCGAGCAGCCGACCTGGTTGAAGCACTGTATGGGACACCACATAACAATCAGGTTAGAGCTCCTCTCTTTTTTATCCCGTGGATGTGTTAAGAAGGCGTTGTGTTGGCAGCGTTTCCTGAGTCACCTTTTCACCTGATCTACTTGAGTGGAACTGATGAGGCTTAATGCTCCATTAAGACTCCTCTACAGTCCTTCTGGGGAGGTCTTTCTCATTGTGGTACAGAATTTATCTGCCATTTCAATCCAATAATCCATTCCAAGGAAACAATTTCTCCTTCCTCCAATCTCTGTTTGCAGAGGATGAGCATACAACCCATTCTGCTCCATCATCCTGTCTGATGAAATTTCTAGTGTGCTGTTAGTCTTCTCTATTGGATGATTTTATTACTACGGAATAATTTTGGTTTCTACAGAAACTTCTGAAAAGTTTTATAAACATTTTTAAAAGCTTGTAATTTTGGAGATCTTCCTTTAGCTTGTTCTTTATTTCTTTGCCTTCAATCTGCCAGTTTTTCTAGCCCTCCTTTACTGTGATATTGAATTCATTCTTCCCATTCTCTCCCTCCCATTTAGTGCCCTCCCAAAACAGGGACAGATAACACCTGTTAGAGTTCTCAAGTGTCAGGATCCAGAGGGCTTTTAGGTCATTATGCTTTGCAGCTTTAGAACCCACAGATGGCTCACTTGGGCGAGGATTGAGTAGTATTTTTTCTACATTTCTCATTAGAGTGACTTTATTTATTTATATTTCATGTTTCTAGACCCTTCATCTCCCTCAGAGAGAGCTATTTCAGATGTCAAAAGTTGATGGAGTTGAGGCAAGTGAGGGGGGTACCCCTTTTTCTCTTTCTGGCATCTCCTCCTTTATCCTCCTTTATCTTTCCTTCTGATGCCCTTTTATTCTGTTAATCTTCCACTGCCCAGAAAGGCCAAACAGAAAGGAACAGTTTACTCTTTACAGTATGAACTCTTTGAGGAAGAGGTCTTTTACATTAGCCAGTTAGCCAAGTATAATTCGCCTAAGAGCCTGTTTGAAACGAAACCTTAGAAATTGGAAATAACAACAGCAGTAGCAGCAGGCCTGATCTTCGCATTTTCTTACACATCGTACCTGGTCCCTCTTCATCTCAAGACACATGTTTGCTGAACATCTGGGGAGGATTTTTTTCCTTCTTCTTTTTTTTAATTTGTAAAGCAAATCAGTCCAAGTGGAATAAAATTTATGCTGATTTTTGTCCTTGTTTGCTTGTTTCAGGACATTATTCTGAAGCGAGCTGCTGATATTGCGGAAGCTCTCTACAGCGTCCCAAGAAACCCAGGTCAGATCCCTGCTTTGTCCAGCTCTCCTGCTCACAGTGCCATGATGGGCATCAACTCCTATGGCAGCCAGCTGGGAGTCAGCATCTCTGAGTCCACACAAGGGAACAATCAAGGTAAAAGTGCTGAACTGAAAGGTACACCACGAATGAAGGTTTTGCTTCAAGAAAATTATGGCCAGAAACTGGGAAATGTTGGTCATGACTTAATCCTGATGTAGTCCTTATTACCATACTTTTTGGACTATAAGACGCACCAGAGTATAAGACGCACCAAAATTCTGAAGAGGAAAACATGAAAAAAAATAGTTGCTGGCCTCTGTGCATCCAGATTTTGCCTCCCCCCCAGCCCCCAGGAGCACTCTGCAGGCCTCCCAAACCCTCTATGCGTCCCATTTTTATGAAAAACAGGCCAATTTTTGCTAAAAACAGGCCCGTTTTTGGCCTCCCCCTACGCATTCTGTTTTTGCTCCCCCCAGGACTCCCAAACCCTCTGTGCCCTGTTTTTGCAAAAAACAAGCCCATTTTTGGCAAAAAAATGGACACATGGAATGGGGTTTCGGGAGGCCAAAAATGGCCATATTTGGTGTATAAGACGCACCACCCTCTTTGTGGGAAAGATGTGTGTCTTATACTGGGAAAAGTATGGTAATTCCCAAGGCCACCATAATAGCATATTGTTTTCTTTATTTATAAAAAAAACACAACCCTCTGGTTTCAATATTGTCCATGCCATCCTGTTCTCTTTTTAATTTTCTTCTAAAATATTGTCCATCCATAGCCTTAACCGTCCCTATAGTTCATATGTGCGTGTAGTATAAATCCATTTCTCTCTCTTACAATTTTCAAACAGTTTACCTTTAAAACCTATCCTTTGGGGAAAAAAAAATAATTGACCATGAATTTCTACCGAAATCCTCGAGAAGGAGCAGCCTTGACCACTATTTGCAGCAAATCCCATGTTAAATTTATAAATATTAAAAACACAAGTGTGCTAATTTTTTCCAGATCTTGAAACAACACCCTTTCACATTCTTTCAACATGCAGATCTGATTGGTGAAATGTACATATGTTGTCAAACAAAGTGAAGTACTTGTCAACTAGTGGAACTTGCTTAAGGGTGAGAGGCTGCAACAGATCTTTAGAGAGGACCTTATGTTTTACCCTGCAAAACTGTATTTGTGAAGTTAGTAGCACACTTACTCGGCTTTTTACTTAGAAATACAAACCTTTAGTCTTGCAATTAATCATCTGAGGACTCTGATGTTAGAGAGAAATGAAAAACTATACAGAATTTAAAAAGATTTTAAATAGATCTATAAAATCCTGAAAGGAGCATCTATGGTGCTCTCTGAACTTACTTGTTTTCTTGCATACTATGCAATGCTTGACAATAATAATTTTATCAATAGAAGAAAATATTTGTAGCTTAGGGTTGAATTGGTGCTAGCTGAGCTTCATTGTTTGCTTGCAGATGTTTTATTACCCAACGAGGTAACATTGTCAGTTTTAAAAATGCATACATATGTGGCTATGTACACACGAAATAGAATAGAAGATTCCTAATATTTAATAAAACAGATGTTTGGAGTAGGAATATCAGTGAAGCAGCTTAGAAGAGGCAACTTTCTAAAGATAAACTTTTATTTTCCGTTTCTCTACTTGACAAAACAAGAACTGGAGGCTCTAGAGGGAGGTTATTTGGTGAAAGCTTAAGTAAGACTCCCCAATAGTAGAACCTATTTGACTATCAAACAATTTGTTCTCGACTTGGTGAGTTTGCCTTTTTTCTTTCATGATTGGGCAATCATCTAACAAGATGACAGCCTATATTATAAATCTTGGACTGGAAAGAGAGCTGGACTAGGTGATAACAAAACTCCCCAACTTTTTTTCAGCTCTGGAATTCTACATTTCACTTCATAAGCTGAATTATTTGTTATTGTTCAGTCAGGAAGTCGCATCTGACTGTTCGTGACCTCTTGGACCACAACAGACCAGGCCCTCCTGTCCTTCATTGTCTGTTGGAGTTCGGCCAAACTCATGTTCATTGTGTCAATCACACTGTCTATCCTCTGCCATCCCCTTCTCTTCTTGCCTTTCATCTTTCCCAACCTCAGGGTCTTTTCCAATGAAGAATCCTCTCTTCTCATTTGGTGACCAAAGCTTGACCTTCAGTCTTTCCAAAGGACAGCCAGGGTTGATTTCCTTAAGCTGAACTAATACTATGCCAAATTTCACCTTTCAGTTTCTTTCCCAGTGGAAAATGAGGTCTTTTTTCTACCGCTATCTACATTTTTGAATGCGTATTTGTTTCCCTTTCTTTCTGATGCAGTTGTACGGCATATGTACAGCCAGAAAATGATCCTGATGGGTTGTTTTCTTTTATGTATTTTGCAATCGCTCTAAAGCCTCCCTCACCATTCTCACTTCCAAACCGAAAACCCCAGGAAAGAAGTTCCTTCTTGAGATCTTTCTCTGGGACTGAACTGAAGTGTGAGGAACCAAGGAGGCTGCAGACTGCTGGAAGGAGGATTGTATAATTTAAAAAAATGTAGCATTCACACACACTTCTCGGCCATCTGGTAACTCAATAAGAATGCCGTAGTCCACCCTTGAGGATTAAACTGAAATTCTTTTCTCCTTTAGAAAAGAGTGAAAGTAAAACCTCACATTCTATTGAGATCGACAAACCTAGGAGAATGTTTTTTTTTTTCATCATTATTTAGGATTCTGATTCCAGGCAAAATGTTATTTCATTGTACACTTGGGCATTTTTTCATGCTATTTTTCCTCTCTACAACTTCTTTTATTTTTTGTATTTTTTAAAATCCAAAACATTAAAGTTCAAACTCCCCAAAAAAGGGGAGCGGGAGAAGGAAAGGAAATATAAAAATGAAACTAGAGAAGATGACACAAAGAGAAAATAATGTGTCTTAAAAAAGGAGAAACAAAACAAGCATGTACATAAATTGTTCCCCTAATAATTGAATAATGATAAATATATTTCAAAAATAATAATCCCCTCCTTGCGAAGCAGGCGTACAATTTATACATTTCTAGAACACTGTTCTAGGTATTTGGCCTGCCATCTATCCACTATATAGAACAAAAAGCCACAGTCCACAGATAAAACCAACTGCAAAATTAAACTACTGTTGGGTTCTGTTCAGATTTGCTTTATTTTAATGCTTAATTTTTAATGTTTAATTTGTGTGCTGATCCATGACCATGATAAAGATTGAATGAAAGAATGAATCTATTCATGATCCAGGTAACTGAAGAGCACCTGTCTAAGAGGGACCATCCTGTTATCCTGACTGATGGACACTCGGTGAATGTTTATTTCTTGCAGGCTACATCCGCAACACAAGCAGCATATCCCCACGAGGTTATTCCTCCAGCACGACCCCTCAGCAGTCTAATTACAGCACCCCCAGTAACAGCATGAACGGCTACAGCAACGTCCCCATGTCCAACCTGGCTGTTCCCAGTTCACCTGGATTTATTAATGGTTCTCCCACAGGATCGCCCTATGGCTGTGAGTAGTTTCCTTCTCTTCTCTTCCTCTAGCTCCACCTGACCTTGGGGTTGGCCTACGTTAAGAGGCAATCTGCCAGAAAATGTTTATTTCCTTTCTTTGGGTCATCTGTCAGAAGGTGCCTCAACGTTTTTAATCAGACAATTAAGCCCAAAAATTTCTGCACAGCAAGCTTTGCAAGAACACAGGACTGCTTTTGTCAACTGTTTGTGGTTCTCTGTCACAAATGTATTAGGTGGCTCTGTATCTCTTGAACTTTAGCTCTTGGCATCCTTCAACGCCAGCAGCTGGGAATCTAATATCCCATCAAAATCCATAACTTCTGTCTGCCCTGCTCTCTTTGCTTTGTTCTGATCTCCAGTGCCAGGAGTGTGCCATAAGCAGACCCAAGCTCCAAGTTGGCCACAAGTTGATTTTATTATTATTATTAACCTTTAATTACAACAAACATGGCGGTATGCAGTGGCTAACACGCTGAGCGTGTCGATCGGAAAGGCTGGCAGTTCGGTAGTTCGAATCCCTAGCACCATGTAATGGAGTAAGCTCCCGTTACTTGTCCCAGCTTTTGACAACTTAGCAGTTCGAAAGCACGTACAAATGCAAATAGAAAAATAGGACCACTTTGGTGGGAAGGTAACAATGTTCTGTGCACCTTTGGCATTTAGTCATGCTGGCCACATGACCACCAATATGTCTTCAGACAGCGCTGGCTCTTCGGCTTTGAAACAGAGATGAGCACCACCCCCTAGAGTCGGGAATAATTAGCACATTTGTGCAAGAGGAACCTTTACCTTGTAACAACCTTTTTTGAAGTTGTGTATGGGGAGGGAGAGAAAGATCAGAGAGCATGAGAAGAATGTTCCCAGATGAGAAGAAAAGGGGTACCAAAAGGAGAGGAAATATGTAGTCACTGCTTAATTAAGCCTTACCTCCATTATCAGAAATATCCACCAGCAGTTGTTCTTAAATTATTGTCTCCTTTAATACAAAAGGAATCAGTGTGCAGTTAATGTATTAGATAGATATGGTTGGATGTTGTTCTTTTCATGTCCACAATGCCTTGGGCTTAGTAGTGGTGGCCCCCTTACAGGCAAGCTGTTCTCAGCTTTCTTCTCAGAAAGCCACAGTTCCAAGAGAGATCATCAAGAAAGAAGAAGACCTTCCAAAGTCCTTTATCCAAAGGCCCTGGTGTGTGTGTGCGTGGGTGGGTGGATGGGTATTTTCAATCCTTCACTTATCTTCTTAGTAAATGATCAGTACATGAAAGACAAGTCCCTTAAAAACATCTTTCCCATGCTGATATGTATGTTTTAAGGATAGTCCAAAATAACTTTCATTGTTCTATGAAAAGCAGTTCTTCCATCTTTTAAATTTTTACTGAGGGCTCAGCTGCAAATGAATTCCAGGTCCTTTTTTGCTTCCTTGGAGATAGTAGAGTAGAATGGGGTAAGAATTGAGATTTCTTCTGAATATTGCCGAGAAGTCGTGGATTAGTATCATTGAAGCTAGAAGAATGTTTAAAACTTTGCTTTTTTGGCAAAGAATGCCATGGTCATCACCAGGTCTTATTAAAATAGCAACTGGATCATCGATAAAGAGACTGCAGTTAGTCATAGTAGACTTTGATGCCATTATTAACTACATTTAGAAAAAAAACCATATTATTTGGTTGGTGGGAGGAAGAGAGAGAGATCAAGAGATGGTGAAATCTAGTCCTACCTTAACCATGAAGCCAACTTTGGGCTGGTCACTCTCTCTCAGCCCTAGGAAGAAGGTCCTGGTGAGACACTTCCAAAAATGTTGCCAAGAATGTCAAATGGTCTTCTCTAGGTACTCACCAGGAATCAGGATTAACTCAAAGTCTAAATAAAGCCACGGTGGTGCAGTGGTTAGAGTGCAGTACTGCAGGGTACTTCTACTGATTTCTGGTTGCCTGCAAGTTGGCAGTTCAAATCTCACCAGGCTCAAGGTTGACTCAGCCTTCCATCCTTCCAAGGTGGGTAAAATGAGGACCCGGATTGTTGGGGGCAATAGGCTGACTCTGTAAAGCACTTAGAGTGGGCTGCACAAGCACCATAAGGCAGAATACGTATAAGTCTAAGTGCTATTGCTATAAACAAGCAAATAACTGCAGTTCTATAAAACTAAGATTAAATTCCAACGAATTTGCTAGGACTGATTTTAGTGTCGAGGGGGAAATTAAAACAACATTCTCAAGCACCCTAAAAATAAAGTGGATGAGATTAGGCTTATTCTCAGGAAAAGAGAGGTTTGTGTGTGTGTGTGTGTGTGTGGTGTGTGTGTGTGTGTGTGTGTGTGAGAGAGAGATGACATAGTGCAATATTTTGAAGTAAGGTTTTGAGGACAGATTTTTTCATTATATTTATTATAAAGTCTCCAAACCATTAGGCGCTACTTCCATTTCTATATCCAATTACATAAGACATGTATTACCCAGCAGCAGTATTGAATTGTTTTCCACACTTGTAGGATGAGAACATTTTGAATTTGGTTCCCGCCCCCATTTTTTTGTAATAAATGGCCTGTTTGGAAAAAGAAAAAGAAAAAACTCACCAAGAAAGAAATCTGAAATGCTGATTGCTTTTGCACAGTGAGTTTAAAATTGGCCAAACAGATGTTTGCTGGGGTTTTTTTTTTTTAAGAAAAGAGAAAACTTACAAATTCTGCTTCCTGGCTGAATTGTGTGTGCCAAGTTTCAGTTCCAGAGGGGGGAAAAAAACAGCTGAATTTTATATTCCTGACTATCAGAGTTTAGAATGAGAGGCTGACAGATTCTTGAGAAAAAATATAATTAGAGTATCATTCAAAGCTAGAGAAGATATTCAGCAATGTGAAATACAGTGGTGATTTTGGCGGTGTGCCACAGATTAATGGAAGCATCTTAACCTGAAATGATTTTTTTTTTTTTTAATGATTTTATTGAAAATTTATATGCT